ATATTTTCTGACTATTCAGATGAGAGAAAAGATAGCGTCTTTGTTCGATCGGTTCTTTGTTGCTGGGCTTTGTAAGGCCGTTCTGATTTCAGGCATAGTTCTCTACCTGGCCGCAATTTTCATCTTCAAGAACCCGAGTTGCTCACCGGTGGAAGAGCTTTTATCATTATCATCATCGCCCTCTTTCCCGGCGCTGAACCCGCCGGGAAAGAATACAACGGGTTCGTCTCCGACGAATATCAGCCACTTGCTCTTCGGCCTCATCGGCTCGGAAAAGGCATGGCACTACCGGAAGGCCTACGTCGAGGCGTGGTGGCGGCCCGGGGAGACCCGCGGGTTCCTATATCTCGACGTGGAGCCGAAAGGGGAACTCTTACCATGGTCGGCGGCTTCGCCGCCGTACAGGGTGTCCGACGACATAAGCGCGATGGTGAGAGAAACGAAGCACGTGGCGCCAGTCATGGCTCGCATGGTGCATGGGATCATGGAGGTGTTCCGGGAGCGGTCGCCGCCGGAGCAGGAGGTGCGGTGGGTGGTGATGGGCGACGACGACTCCGTGTTTTTCGTGGACAACATGGTTGATGTTCTGGCGGCATATGATCATACCAAGTACTACTACTTCGGCGGGCAGTCTGAGTTTATCAAGTCAAACTACTGGTTCTCGTTTAACCAGGGATTTGGTGGCGCCGGTTTCATTCTTAGTTACCCTCTGGCGGCGGCGCTGGCGGAGGGTATGGAAAGTTGTTTAAGGAGATATGCACGGGTAAGATCGGCTGATACAATAACGATGTTGTGCATATCTGATCTTGGCGTTAATCTCACGCCCCTCAAAGGGTTTCATCAGGTAATTTATATTGCAGAATCGTAAAAAATATTACCTCCATAACTTTTTGAAAATCAAAATATGACTGGTTGTAAAGGGTTTTGTTTTTTAATACTAGTAATTTATTTAATTAACTTCTCTATTAAGTTTTAAGTTAAAATTTTAATACATCTGTCCCAAAAAGAGATGCAAATTTGACTTTTCTTGGTCAAACAGTCTCGTTTTGTTCACTTAATTTGGATGTCAATTTTTAATTATGTTCTAATTTCTACTGTACAACTTTGAAGAGATTCTAATGTAATTTATGAATATGTAAATTTTAATTAATAAAAATTGAATTAATTATCCATACAGAGAGTTGACTTTTATTATTGGTTGACCAAAAATTGTTGACTTTGCAAAACAAATTGGGACAGGGGGAGTATGTGAATGTTCTAAATTTTATGAAGAACATGATCAAATAAAAAAGAGAAAATTCCTTATGTAGGACTAAAACATAAAGAAAATGCACATATAGGCGTATAATTGTTTTCTTCTCAAAATACGATTTATTCACTCCTAATAGGGCAAGTTCATACTTTTAATAGGATCAAATGAGTCCTATTTCGGGAATAAAATACATGTAGTCCTATTTGTGCATTTTGTCTAAGTTTTGATCCTATTTAAAGAAATTTCTAAATAAAAAATTTCATGAAAAAGTTGGACCTAGAAAGTCACGGCTTGGCCGAATAGCAGTTCCCATTAGTTGAGATTGACCAATCATTTGAGAGTAGATGTTGCGAAAGGCAGACAAGCGCTCAATCTGAGAGTGGCAGAGAGGCAAGGCTAAAATGGGAATAAACAGGTTGGCTAAAGTCAAACGCTTAGCTTCTCCTGTGAACGTTTCATTTCAGTAAATTTTTTTTAGTTCAAGTTAATACAAGCTTTACATCCGAACATAGTTCCAATTTTAAAATTATTGACTGAATGTATAATATTTCAACCTATTATTAGCTGAAATGGTCTAACTAACGTAGCCTAAATAGATCAAATAAACATGGCGGAGAGGTGAGGTTTTAATGGGAATAAACAAGTTAGCTGAAGTCAAACAAACGCTTCTCCTATGAACGTCTCTTTTCCGATGAAGTCAAACGCTTCTCTCCTATAAACAAGTCGGCTGAAGTAAACATAAGCTTTACATCCGAACAGTTTTAATTTTAAATTATTGACCGAATGTGTAATGTTTCAGCTTATTTTATTAGCTGAAATGGTCTAATAACGAACATAACTTAAATAGATAAGAACAGTTAAAATCGGACCATAGTCAAAAACATCGTAAATACTTCCCTTTTAAATTTAAGATTAGATTTTATAATGGGCAAATTTATCTAAATAGGACTAAACTAGACGGAGTAGTTTTTTTCAAAACTAGAACCAACTAGTTTAAAATGCCTTGAATAAGACTTTTTATTTGTGATTGAACCAAAATGTCCTCGTAGAACTTGAGCACTAATGCCCCAGGTCGCCGAACTGCCACATGCGGCTTGAATCCGTTGCCGCCGCCACAGGCTGATCCGCCACCAACTGATTGTTCATGGCTATGAAAGAGAACTAGGAGAGAAATTAGTTAGATTAATTAATTGATTGATTATATTAGGGGTGAAAATGAAATTATTAGTCATTTTTAAAGAACACTAAACATATGCTCGATGCTCCTATTTTTGGAACAGGACTATATTTTAGTCTTTGAGAAATTTCCTCATTACAATACTCCCTCCGTCCCAATTTGTTTTGCAAAGTCAACAATTTATGGTCAACCAATAATAAAAGTCAACCCTCCGTATGGATAATTAATTCAATTTTTAATAATTAAAATATACATATTCAAAAACTACATTAAAATTTTTTCAAAGTTTTAAACTCCAAATTAAAATATAATTAAAAATTGACTTCATTATTAAGTGCACAAAATGAGACTGTTTGACTAAGAAAAGTCAAATTTGCAACTCTTTTTGGGACGGAGGTAGTATAACGTTCAATCCCACACTTAATAAACACCTTATTTCACAGCATGAAAATTACTCCGTATTTTTAATGTGGGTACTATACATTTCGTATATAAAATACTCCGAATTTATTTCATTGGTTCTAAACAAAATTCATTCACCTATGGGAATTACTACCCGTCCCGAAAAGGTTCGCCAAATTGACTTTTCTTGGTGAATGATGACAAATTTTGGACAACAATTTTAATGATTATATTTGTGTATAATTTTTATATTTTATACTTTTTTGAAAGTATTTTGAATAAGGAATATTTTGATATAATTTTTATATTCCAAAGTATTTTGTATTAAAAAATATTATTGCTCAAAGTTGATTGTCGTTGACAAAAAAAATCAATTTGACGAACCTTTCCGGAATTGAGGAGTACTTGTAAGATAAAAACTTGACCTTTACGATCATAAATTTGGGATTGTTCTAGGTTGACTTACATGGGGATCTATCCGGTTTCCTATCCTCCCACCCCAAAGTTCCACTGCTATCCCTTCATCATTTGGACATGGTGGAGCCCATCTTCCCGTCAATGAACCGGTTTGACTCGGCCCAACATCTTAAATCGGCGGCGGATTACGACCAAAGTCGCATGTTACAACAGACCATTTGCTACCACAGAAATAACAGCTGGACGGTTTCCGTTTCGTGGGGTTACTCGGTTCACATTTACGAGAAAGTCCATCCTCGGAGCTACTTGCAGATGCCGATCGAAACGTTTAAGCCGTGGGTAGCCAAGGGTAATATGGACCATCCGCTTTATATGTTCAACACTCGCCGTCCTTCCAACGATCCGTGCGAAGCCCCGCACGTGTTTTTCCTTAAAACTGGTAATAAAACGGCGGAGGATGGAATCGTTATGACGTACCTCCGGTCGTCGGCGAGAGGATTACCGGCATGTTCTTTAAATTCAGTCACCGGCAACAATTCGGCTGACTATGTTTCAAGGATTGAAGTTTACTCTCCGCTCACAAAACGTCCTCAGGTAATCTTTTCTCAAATAATCAATGTTACGTTTATAGGGGTTATCCCAAATAATCCAATTTGTGATTCATTGGAAAATTGCCGCAATATGAGTACAAACGTTTCAGAATTCTAAAATAGAATTGTCATGTTTTTATTTCTTAAATAAGAGTAATTATTGCGAGGTTTGATAAATATTGTCATATTTAAAGTCTGGAACTATCAACATGACATTAAGTACTCCTATTTAGGTAATAAAAACATGATAGTTATATTTTGGAATAAACACACATGTTTACTCCTATTGAGGATAATTTTCTTTCAGCATTTTAAAATTCTAAACATGATCTAATAATATTGTTGAACTCTCTTATTGTTTCAGATGGACATATGTGAATGTTGCGACATTATGCATCCACAAGGTGGAAGCACATTGAAAGTGAAGTATAGGGAATGTGTGAAAAATGAGGTTATTGCTTAATTAGTGGAGTGTAATTAATTAGTTTTTCTTTCTCCTACATTTTGTTCCCCTAAAATAGCCTTACTCTATTTTGTAGTAACGTACGTAGTAGTACTTTATATATACGAGTATTATACTTATAGTTGATATAATTATTATAATGTGTGACAAATGTGGTGTACCTACATCATTAATTGTTACATTATTAGTTTCTGTCAAAAAAAATACTACGTACTTCGTATACATTATTAGTCACGCATGTGGGAATTTTTATTTTTACATTTCTACTAAAAATGAAGACTAATTTAGGGAAAAAATTACACTCTGATTTACTTGTGCTCTTTGCTGTCCCCAGTAAATGAGAAAAAAATAAATGAATAATTTGTTGAAATTCTTCTTATGAGCATTGTTTCGAGCATATGCTTTTTCCATTTCTATATAAAAACGTGAAATGGAAATGTTTTTTCCCTAATTTGACCTTCTAGCTTTGTGAATTGTGATTGCTTGGTGATTTGAACTTGTGATAATAAAAGTATTATTTTTTATAACCAATTCAAAAGTAATTCCTTTATAATTTAGAGATTATAGATGTATTTTATGGTAAGAAGACGCTACTCTCTCCGTCTCGTAATATACTTCTCACTTTCGTTTTTGAATTGTCCCAAAAAATGTTCTCATTTTCTTTTTTGAAAGTTATGTGTGACTAACGTTCATTTACATTTGTTTTTTTTTTGCACAACGAAATCTTAAGTATTATTAATGAAGTCATGGCTTAAAGCCTGCATAATACAAGTAGGAGGAATCGAGAGCCACACATGGCTGTCAGACAAAGAAACGGCTGCTCGAGCAAGAGTGTGAGCAACACGATTCGCAGACCGCCGTATAAAAGCAATAGAAATGCTATTAAAATCTTTCATTAAATCTCTAACATCTTCCACTATCAAGCCAAACTGAGCAACACCACCTCCGTTATAAATAGCAGAGACAACTTGAGAAGCATCAGACTCGATGTCCACATAATCCCAACGGTTCTCCTTCAGCCAGCTCAATGCCTCACGGACCCCTAAAATTTCGGCTTCTTTGGGTGAAATATTCCCTTCCCAAGGCTTAGCACCAGCAGCCACAAGCTGACCCGCTGCATCCCTCACCACCCACGCTAGTCCCCCGCTTTCCATCCATCCCGGTAGCCGCATCAACGTTGACCTTCATTCGGCCCTCCACGGGTTTTTTCCATACCTCCGCAGCCCTCCTTTCAGTCCGGTTGAAGCACTCCCTGCCTTGTTCTTGCGCTGCACGCCACCCAAATAGAACAGATCTCGCTACAGCAATGATTTGATCAACTCCACAAGCTTCAGCATGCCAAACCATCCTATTCCGTCCCTGCCATAAACTCCAACAATACATCACAAATTCACAGCATTGGTCCTCATTTTTAGAAGAGAAAAATCTCTCTGTCCACTCCAAAAAACTACCCCCAGTTACATTATTTTCACCCCAGCCCACTTTCCTCCCTAATTCAATTGCCATGTTACATGAAACAAATAGATGTGTACAAGATTCTAGCTGCCCACACCCAAAAACACATTGGTTTGGCACATCAACCCTCCGCTCCCTAAGTTTGTCCGCTGTTGGAATATTGCCTGTACATAATTGCCAATCAATATAACACATTTCCATTTTTTTTTTACTCTTTTCAAGTCAAACTGGAAACTATTTTGGGATTGATTAGACAAAAAGAGATAAGAGGGTTGGGGATGAAAGCTCGCTGATGCTTGGAATTGGACGAAACGATGGACCCGGAAGGTTGAAGTATTGACGTCCATGAGCCTATGATTAGGCAATTATTAATGGGTTCAATAGGAAATTTGATTCGTTGCATTAAAATTTAGCCGACTCACTCTATTAAGCAAATGTTTCTGCTTAAAAAAACGCTTTTAGACTAGGAAAAAATGATTAATAGTAAAATTTGAGTGTTTGAGAAAAAGTGATTTTGAAAAGTAAAAGTTGGTACTGTTTAGTAAAATACTCCGTAAGTGTTTTTTGTGTAATAGAAAAGGGAAGAGCACTTTTCACACGAAAGTCGAGAAAAGTAAAAATTAGTAGTGTTTGATAAATAAGTTTTTTTAGGCCAAAAGCCGAGAAGTGCTTTTTTAAGCAGTTGCAAACCAGCCCTAATTGGAGAAAAAAATGGAGATTGAAAAAAAAATCTTGCCCCATGACTAATTTAGATATACTTGTATTTGTATAAAACAAAAAGACATAAACGTGTACTACTTTTCACACTTTTCAGTCGCAGATCAGATCAGACTAGACTAAATCAAATCAAACATAAACAGATTAGACCAATCAAATTTGGACAGTTATAAAATACATAGAGATCATAGATTTAACCAACCATACCAGACTAGAATTGAACAAACCAGATCAAATCAAATCAGACCAGACCAGACCATCAAATTTCAATCCAAAAAAACACATCATAACTACTATCTCCTTGTGTGCAAAACTAGTGTTTCCGACTTTCCGTTGCTTAAAGTTGTTATTGAAAAAGCAATTATTTAGATAATAATAATTAAATACTGCGTAAGTAATTTAACTATATTGCTGAGTATATAATATAATAAGTCATTGTGGGTATTGTGATGTTATAGGATGAATTAGTTCTAACATTATTTCATAATTAAAATTTCAGAATATTAAAATTATTTTCTAAAATAGAAATATGAATCTTTAATAGAGATGTCAAAAAAATAAGTGTAAACTTTAAACTGGAATAGACACTAAAAATACGGAATTCACGGAGATATACAAAACACATGCAAAAAATGTTTTGGCACGAGTTACTTAGCACGAAAACATCAACCAATCTTGAAGGTGACAAACTAAACGGAGTATTAAAAGAACTGAAATATGTCATAGAATATGACAATCTCAGAACCTCAAAAGTTAGAATAACATTGAAGGTGCACCACTTCAAATACAATATTTTTTTTTGAACGAAACTGGCTTAACTTATCATTACAGAAAGAACAGAACCAAAGCACGTGACAAAGTGACGATAAGTCTTCTGTCTACCGTCCGTCCAAGGATAAGACTTTGAATTAATCACCTCCGAAAAAGGCATATTATTCGCTGATCACGCTTTGGGCTTATCTGAGCGGATGACTTGGAGACTAGACTCTTCATCCCCTGGCGTAGGTTCAAGAGTTTTTTTGTTGGAAAGACGCAACACAAACAAAACAAAGTACGCATCCAAAACGTGGGAAATAAAGAAAAAAGAGCAAACAAAATAAAAGTATCTTTCGGCTAACAAACCGCCATCAAACTCAGAAACTCTGTCGGGTCTGGGATCCAACACTGGCCCTTGTCCCGTTTTTTGGACATCAAGCACCATATCTTCCTTTGTTGCGTCCTCCTTGACCTGTTCCTCCCAAGTGCGCCTTCTCTTTAGCTTTCCTGGCCCTCCGTCCTCCTGAGCCCCACCTGGATTAGTAGGAGTCCCCATCATGCTTTGAGTGCTCTCCCCTACCTCTTATGGGTCCTGAACCTGAGTTGTCTTCTCCACGCGAGCCTTGTTATAGCCACCTGCTGAGGAGCTCCCTTCCGACACCAACCATTTGCTACCCATAGAAGGTCTAGTCTTCCTTCCACGTGCTCGAAGCCACGAACCAAATGGCTTAGTCAAACCTTGTCCACCTTTTTTATACATTAGAGGGCAAAATTTTTCTGCATGTCCGATAACTCCACAGCAAAAACAGAAACTTGGACGTTTTTCATATTTAAAATCGACCCAGTACCCTTCTCCTTTACTATTCCTAATGGTAGTCCCAATTTTTAAGGGTTTACTAACATTCATACGAACTCTAACCCGCATATAAGCTTCCCATTTTTCATCAAATTGGTTATCATCCCACCTGACAAATTCACCTAGATAATTCCCAATTTTTCTTGCCGTTCCAAGATTATCATAACTATACGGCACATTATGTACTTGTACCCAGAGCTCAACCGTATCTAGCGGGACTTTAAGTGGGATATCTCCCGGTTTAAGAGCTTGTAGAACAATCAAATTCTGATCAAACAACCAGGGACCAACTTCAAATACAATATTAAATACTATCTTCATCGTTTTTTATAATTTTGAAAACTAGCACAAAAAATAATAATTTAAAAATATGTGTGATTGAGATTCACGTAAATGGGAGAGAAACGGGTAAGAATGGTAAATTATTTGATCATGAAAGTGACAAAATTTTTAGGATAACAAAAAAACACCAAGTTACAAAGGAGGAAAGGAATTTTTTGATAAATCCCCGAAAAAAACCTATAAATCTAAACAAAATCTTAAAATGACTAAGAGCCCGTTTGGAGAACTCTGTTTTCGGCTTATCAGGCTTATCAGCCAGCTTTTTCACCAAACACGTAACTTTTACTTTTGCGCGCTGAATTGTAGTAAGGTTGGAGTTACTTTTCTGGCTGTATTGGCTGAAGTTACTGTAGAGGACCATTTTAGCTATTTTTACATATAATTTTTTCTTTAATTTATTAATAAAATATATTTTTAAAATATTTTTTTCTTAAATCAGCAGAATCAGCCAAAACAGCCACTTCAGCCAGAATATCATAAATTTCAACAGAATCAGCCAAAACAACCGATTTTGGTGCTACCAAACGGGCTCTAAATAGATTTAAACCGCTGCGAACGATTATGCAAATTATGAAAGATTTGCTTCTCAACCGCTGCAAACGATTTATGTACAAAACAGTATGCTTAAACTGCACTAAAACCAGGAGTTTTCTTCATTTTTTGCTCACTCATAGATCTCCTCACTTTTGCAACACCCTGCCATTTCCCAGCACCCGCATAAACATTTGATAACAAAACCTGATCGCCAGAATTGTTAGGATCCATCTCCAAAAGCTTTTCTTTCACAAGTTCAGCCAATTGAACTTCACCATAGAAGCTAGAAGCTCCCAAAAGAGTCCGCCATATGACAGTGTTTGGGGGTATAGACATTTGCATGATAAAATCATAAGCCACTTTTAACTCTCCACGCCTGCTGTACAGATCAACCATACAGCCATAGTGTTCGATATCTGGTTCAATGTTATATACTCTTGTCATTCTATCGTATATATATCGCCCTTCTTCAAGTAACCCAGAATGGCTACATGCACAAAGAATTGAAACGAAGACAACCCGGTCTGGTATAGTTCCAAAAGCTTCCATTTTTTGAAAAAATTGGATCGCCTCTTCACCATAGCCGTGCATTAGAAGCCCAGTAATCATACATGTCCAAGAAACCAAACTCTTCTTCTTCCTTGGTATCTGTTCAAAGACTAAGCGGGCCATCCCGAGATTCCCAGACCTGGCATATATATCCAACAGTGCATTATTGACTGAGACAATCCACATAAGTCCAGCTTTCTCTACAAATCCATGGACGGCTTTTGCAAATTTGAACTCCCCAGATTGAGCACAGGCAGATAGAACCCCTGTCAGGCTGACCTCATTGGGAGTCATTCCATCCCTCCTTAACTCCCTGAAAAGCCATAATGATTCATCAAAATAGCCGTTAAAGGAAAACCCATAGATCATGGTGCTCCAAGAAACGGCATCCCTTGTAGACATTTGATCAAATAACTTCTTGGCACAGCCTAATTCTCCTGCTTTGGAATACCCAGCAAGCATCACATTCCAGGAAGTCAAGTCCGTGGAAGGCATCAAACAGAACATCGACTCTGCACCGCTCAAATCACCAACCCGGATATAAGCAGTAAGTATCGCATTCCGGGTAACCACATTCGGTTCGGACATTTCATCGAACATGTTGCGTGCAAACCGTATATACCCACACTCTGCATACATGCTGATCGTGGTAGTCCCTACAAAGAGATGGCAATGGAGGCCACGAGAGAATGATTGGCAATGAATCTGAGACCCACTCCTGAAACACCTCATGTTCGCGGCCGCCTTGAGCGCGAAAGCGAGAGAGAAGCTATCCGGAGGATACAGCGAGCTCCGAATCATGGCTACGAACGTCTTGAGGGAATTCTGAGGAAGGTCCGACTCAGAAAATCCGCGAATGAGCGTCTTGTACATGGAGACGTCTGGGTTCGGGGTGTGGAGGAAGATGCGGTGGGCGTAGTCGAGTGCGCCGCCGATGATTACAGAGCAGTGACTGAGCAGCTTCCCGGCGATGGATTGGTCGGATTCGAGGCCGGCCTTGCAAACGTAAGCGTGGAGTTGCTGGACGCATTTCAGAGTCTTGCAGCTGGCCAAGAGCAAATGGCATGAGCTTTCGGCGCTGCTCATGAGCGCTTCATTGTAGGAGCGGAATGGGTACGGTAAGTCAAACCCGCCGGGCTTTATTTCAGCTCAATGAACAGGGAAGCAAATGCAAATTAGAAAAACGGTTTGTTTGATTTAACTTTGCACTTTTTGAATTAGTTTTTTTTATCGTTTGAATTAGTTGAGAAATATGAATATTCCCTAGTAAAAATTATTTTGATAGAAACGTAATAAAGTTTTTGGGACAACCTGGAAAAAAGCTAGCAAGTTCAATGGGACACTGGGAATATAAAACTGACAATAATGTAATTGAATAAATTATTTTCACTTTTTCAAATAGAAAAATTGAAGATATGGCTGACAGAGTTAGGGTTCGAGAAGTCATACAAATTTGCCACATACGCCTTGAAA